TAGTTCTCTAAATCAGGGACCCTTTTTGGGTCCCCAACATAGTACGGCACCCTTATAAAAAGGACCCTAAAAGGGGCCGTTTAGGGTTTAGGGTTTAGGGTTTAGGGTTTAGGGTTTAGGGGTTTAGGGCAAAAGGGACCCCGAATTTAGAGAACTACCCACATAAGGAGTGGCTAGGCTTCCCTTTTCAGCCCTACCGTCTTATGCTACGCGACAGCATTCAGAGGCTCTGGGTCTCCCAAGACTAAGACAGACGGCGGTTTAGGGTTTAGGGTTTAGGGTTTAGGGTTTAGGGTTTAGGGTTTAGGGTTTAGGGCTTTGGGGGCTTCCGGCCCCTGCTGCAGGATTTAGGCTGAAACGCTCTCACTGCACTGGCGTCCTGAGCCGAAGAAAGGGTTTTCTTATTTCTCAGCCTAAACCCTAAACCCTAAACCCTAAACCCTAAACCCTAAACCCTAAACCCTAAACCCTAAACCCTAAACCCTAAACCTTGTTTCCAAACCCTAAACCCTAAACCTTAAACCCTTCCAACTCTTTCTTTTGAGCTTGGGCCAGGGCGGGGGTTGCCGGGTTCAAGGGTCTAGGTCTGAGTGTTCCGGCTTCTTCACCCAAAGAGACTTTGGCTTTTGGCGGGTTTAGGGTTTAGGGTTTAGGGTTCAGGGTTTAGGGATAAAGCCATGCAGGTTTATGGTAGAATACAGAGGACTTAAGGTAGTAGCAGGTCTTTGTTAAGGGCCCTTACTGTGATTATCAGTAGAATATACGCTTAGGCCAAGCACTCAAAGGCTTGATGGGGTCATCTAGTACTCGCCCCAGGAGAGCGTGGGCACAGATTCAAGCTTAGGGTAAGGGGGCATCGGGTTTGTGAGGACTCACAGGGGGTTTCTGGATGTAGAACTATTGAGGTTTCCCCAAACATGATCCTAAAGCGTACAAGCTTCGTGGATAGGTCTCTAAATCTATGCAACCCTCAGAAGAGAGCCCCCACATAACCCCAAACCTTATCAACCCTCAGAAGAGAACGTGTCGAGATGGTTCAGGAACACGGTGACCTGCAGCTCTGCGATCTCAGCATGCGAAAAGGTGCAAGGGGAAACGCCCTTTAGGGTTTCCCAGACAAAGATGTGGGTGTTGATTATTAGGGTGTCCTTGCACTCCTTCAGCCCTACCATACAGCCTTATCCCACATCCTACCACACAGCCCGATTGGAGGCAGGGAACTGGGCGGCCATGCTTCTGCTTCTGGAGGAGATGCACCCTGGACCGAATCGGAAAACCAAACGCCATGATCCCTTGATCACGTGTTCCTCCAGACTGCACGGGTACCATAGAGGTCTTTGAATGTAGGAGAGTTGATTTTTGGGCTCTAGGGTCTATGGCTAATCGGGTGGAGGTTTTAGGGATGTCAGTGACTCGAATTTTGGATTTGTGGGTTCAGGGTCTTAGGTTTGGATCTCCGGGTTTTGTGGGCCGTCAGAGTTTAGAGAGAGTGTCCGTGTGTAGGTCTTAAGATAGAAAGAAGCCTGAATGAGCCGTAAGACAGTTTCCCTCTAGTCGGAACCCCAAACCCAAAATCGTGGCTTTCGGGACGGTTTAGGGTTTAGGGTTTAGGGTTTAGAGTTTAGGGTTTTGGTTTAGGGTTTAGGGTTAAGGTTTTAGGGTTGAAGAACCCTGCGGTCGCATCACTGCAAGCTTTGTAAAGCCGACGCCATCATCTTGAAGCAGCAACCTTACTAAACCCTAGACCCTAAACCCTAAACCCTAAACCCTAAACCCTAAACCCTAAACCCTAAACCCTAAACCCGAAACGTTTCTGAGGCTGTGCCGGGGCATTGAATGTAACGCTGTCACCTGCAGCGCCTGCATCAGCGCTTGCGAGAAGGGCCGAGAGCCTTTGGCCGAGCCGTTAGGGTTTTAGGGTTTAGGGATTTAGGGTTTACGGTTTAGG